TAGCCCAAGCCGCCTACTGCTAACACCTCAGAATTGAAACCGTAAGGGTTTTTTTTAATTGCTTGTAAATGTGGCTGAGTTCAAACTTCATTAGGCGTCTCTAACTTCACAGCAGCATCTGCAACTTGAGCATCTCTGACAAAATAGGTTCGAGACATTCACCTGCTGAATTATCTACTTTTGCCCTTTGTCAGTGTCAGTTTAAAACAAGAAGTGCTGAAGGTCAGCTTCATAGCTGACCGTGCTACACCCTTTGATTGCAAAATTTTCTTGTTTCTCTAATCCCGTATCTATCCTGATTGTCTAGTTGAAAGTATTCTGCCGTTTTTTTATTCAGAAAACCTGTGCTTGGCCTCTACCCTGACTTACCCTTATCCCTCCCACAGCCTCTGATTGCACCCAAAATCGCTTTTATACCCTTCCTTCCGTCCCTCCTGCACTTCACAAGGCTCCTCCGCCAGGCTGGTAAAGGAAATTGGGGAACTCGGTCTGCTCTGCTGCGTCTCTCCCAGCAGGTGTCAGTGCCACCTAAACGGGAGGCGGCCTTTCTTCAGGTTTGCTCTTCTGACGTTTTTCTCGATGTCAGAGAGCCTGAAAGAGAGGAGGAAGTTTCCTATCTTTCACCCCGGCAAGATCGATGACATCAGGTCAGAATTAAGTTGCAGGAGGGGATCTGTCTGAGGGCTATATGCCTTGTCTTTGGAAATTTCTATGCCTATCTGAAAAAGGCTGAAGTTACCCAAGGTATTCAATAATATAAATGTTTCAATCCAGCAAATTCTCTTCTGTTCATTCTGTCCCTCTTGCCTATGCTGAAGGCCACCATTCATAGGCAAAACAGGGAATAGGGAAACATGGGTCACACAGGAAACAATTTTTAAAGCGAATGAGGACATGTCTCCGCACCACCATCACCACACAAATTCTCACACACACTAACTTCTGCGCAAGTCCTCCTGGCTCTGTTTAAAGCTTCTAAGCAGTCAAGGGGTATGGAAAGGGGTGGAGCATTTGTTTCATTTTCAACTACTCCAGAAGCAATTTCAAGAGCACTGGACAAGCCAGGTTAGAAAACATGTGCCTCAGAAAGCAAGGTACCACATCCTCTTTGCATCTCCTTTCTGGGATGCTGGCCAGAAACCCATGGTCAACCGTGGCCACAGTCATCAGACGGTTCTTTTCCACAGTATTCTGGCTGTAGATCGGTCCACTTTGTAGCCTGCTTTCACAGCCTCACTCCATTTTATTTCTAAGTAATAAGGAAAAGATAATCCTGTCATAAATTGTTTGTTACAACACTATCCAAAAATCACTTCTGCTCCGAAATTTGGCTCTAATTTCCATGTAGGAAGTTTGAAACGTTATAGATAATTCATTGTTTAAAGTTAAACAGTCTTAATCTGATCCTTTTAAGTTCTTCTGATTTGATTGTAAATCAGTATTAGTCAAGTTTTCTCATTTTTGAAAGCTTTGCTAATCTAAATGCTAATTGTCATGGAGTTTTGCAAGCCACAAACACACTTCTCACAGGTTTTCAAATGTCTATTAAGCTTCTCTATCACTCTTTTTAGCCCTTGAAGATATGCCAAAACACGATGTTAAATTATGTAGCTTGTGAGGACTTCCCGATTGCATCCTGCCATATGTCAAACGATGTGCCTTTTATAATTACCGTACATAGCAATTCATAAGAAGTTAACTATTTCCACGCTGCGGAACAATCAGGAGGCATTTTTGTTAGTACCCTTCTATTTCCTTGCTGATTTAAAAATACTCATGAGATGCTAAAAATCAGCTTTTTTCCTTCCAAATGTCAAATCGGATAGGAAATCGGGAATCTCCACTTCCGACACAGAATTGCTCCCATTTGCAAGTCTTCTAGAAGGCTGTGCTTAAAGTAACAAGAAAACACCCACCTTACGGAAAGGCGCGCAACAGATGATCTCTCCGTTGTCCTTAATCTTAGCTTTCCTAACTTCCCCTTCTCTCCTGGCCTCACCCAAACTCATTTTTAGCATTATCAGGTCTTATGCCACTCTCAGTTGATTTCAAAAGGAGAGAATAAATACAAGTTATTTTTTCAACAAATAAAAGTTATTTCAAACATTTTGTTGGGCCATGTCAACTGAAAACAAAATCCTGCTTGGGGATAGTTCCACGACTCTTAAAGAACAGTGACATGCTTTGGAGTACCCCAGGATAATTTCGCAAAGACCGGAGCACCAGGTCACAGTATTCCTAAAGCACTCTAATGTTAAAGTGGTTTACAAATTGGCCATTCAGCAGGCTGGAGATCACAGAACTCAGCTAAATCCTAAGCAGTGGAGCCATAAGAAGCCTGCTGCTGTGTACAGCCCCAGGAAGAGGAGCAACTTAACACTACCACCTTGACTTCACCGCTCAAGTGATGTCCAAGCCAAAAAGCAGGTTAGAGGTCCACCTTAAAAATCAGCTATGTGCTGCAATGTTCATGGACAAAAAAAAAAAACCCACACCCAAAACTTTCACAGTATCTTAAATCATTTCTGTTTGCATGTCTCTTCCGTTACTTTGCTCTGAACATCCCACCACACAACCCTCCCACCATTTCATCCTTCTCGCTTACATCACCGTAATTACAGCCCTGGCTGATCTCCTTTGTGCTGATCTCGAGATTCTTTCTTTGGTCTTGCCACCTACTCATTTCTGATTCTTCTCAGATAACAGAACGCTTGTCTCCTTCCCAGACCTCCCACCCTACTTCCCCCTCTTCCTTGCACCATCCATACGAGTAAGAAAGCTAGTGTTTTCCTGTCTTGAAGAGCTCTTTGCGGCACTCACTGAAAGGCATTCCCAAACTTATTATCTCCATCCAGTAAAGACTACAACAGCTCTGCTGTGGGCCTGGTAAGATATTACGCTTGTGGGCAAAACATTCTTTGGATTAGGCTTGCAAAGGGCAAGAGTCTTAACCTTCAGAAGTTTACTTTGAAGTCTGGCTGATTCAGGTTCCCTAAATCATTCTGCGCATTTACTTCCAGCTAGAGCACATCTGTACGTCTCCAGTGGAGAGCATTCACTTGGCACGCAACATTTCGTCAGGCTGCCTACATGCGCATATATGGAGTCAACAGCACACTCCCCCTTCAGTGGAAGAAAATACCTACTGTTCTCATACTCGGTGTTATGAATTGCACGAGGACAGAGAGACAGGTATTACCAACAGTTTCCACACCGTTACAGAGCTTAAGGGGAAGGAAGGGAGGAAGGAAGAAAGGAAGGAAGGGGTGTAGAGGTAAAAGGGAAAGAGAGAAAAGCCACACACTCAGAACATTCATCCTCTTCTATTTCAACTCATCCTCTACTATGGAAAATGCAAACAGAGGAACTCCAACAGAAGTAGTTCAGTGTAGGCAAGGCAGTCATCCTTAGATTGTAAGGCATCCAAGAAACCAAATATCCCCCGGTTTTTCACTGTCACTTGAACGTTAGTTGTATTCTGATCCTAATCGAGTGCTCTGCATCAATTCAGATGAAATTATGTGTGTGTTGCTTACTGGTACTGTGTTAACATCAAAGGGAAAAATACTCACAACAATCATGGACCTAGGCAACTTAGCTGAAACATCAATTATAAAACTCAAGGTTAAAGCACTTGCTTTTTTTTTTTTTTTTTTTTTAATAGGTATAATACTTATGGCAGTTACTGTAACTAATGATACTTTACAGCTACATTTGTTGTGTAGGCTACAGAACCCAAATGCTGCAATCCACATCTAAAATCAGCATGACTCAGGCATATTCCAAAGGGCAAGACTGCTTGCCTGAAAAACTTTTGCTTAGCAGGAAGAAAAAAAGAGTACACATTTTGCCTTTTCACTTTACTTCAGCTTTAAAAAAAAACCCCCAAAGTCTTAAACCCAACCGAGTTTAGACTAACCAGCATAACGGCGTTAACTACAGAAGAGGCTTGAATCACGCTGACTGACCGACGACTGACACACTGCACAGAGCAAACTTAACTTGGCTTTCTCTGGCTGAAAGTCCAAGCAGAGCGCAGAGGGCCAACAGGAGGCCGCCTTGCTGACCACTCTGAGTGCCAAGGGCATCACGTGGCCAAACAAGGCAGAGGGAGAGGGGATAAAGAGCCCATTTCTGTTATAATGCATAGGTGAGTTTAGAAAGTGTTATTTTTTTGCATGGTTCCTGGAATTCTCAGGGATGTCCCGAGAGCAGTCTGGGTTAATTAGACAGTGTAGAAGCAACTATTATGTCAAATGAATGCCATTCCTACTAGAAAACATATCACACTGAGAGAAAGAGAAGGACCAGCCTTCCAACACAAACACTGAGAAATGAGGATCTCACTGTGGTACTGTGTGCACTCAGAAGCAGACTAGATGGTGTTATTGGATATGTGTAGTCACTAGTCATTCCACCTTCAGTGCAGATGATATGATATGAAGAGAGAAGACACACACTGGAAATTCAACAACAGAAAAAAAACCAACCCGCACCACACATGAAATACCACTGTACAGCTGAGGGAGAAATTCTTGATATAACTGCAATACGGTCCCATTTTCTTAGCAGATGTTTTGTTAGTATACAGGTGAATAAATTTTTAAAAAGTGTACCCAGCCAGCCAGCATCTTGTAGGTGTCAGCACATAAAATGTACTCTGAAGCCAGCGTCTAACCTGCTCTTATGAACTGTGACAGTCTGCTGGCTGGGAGGGTTTGCACTGCTTAATAAACCCATCCCTGTGCTTCACAGGCAGACTTGCAGCGAGTCAGTGAGGTACAGTCAATATGAAAATATTAAGGTTAAGAAGTGAAATGGCGAACACCTAATAGATAGCCGGTATAAAAACCATTAGTAGTCAAAGTAACATTAGCTTTGGGATATGATACGTCTGCAATTTTTGCTAAATTCATATTATTGCATAAAATTTATAAGAAAGCTTATTTTACAATTCAGTTTTATCATCAGGAAAGCTTTAGAGATGTTCTTACCATGCTTCAGATGTAGGCAGCTGTCATTCTGGGGCCTGTACCTGTAGAAGATTGTTTTCCTTTAACAAATTTCTGTTACAGAGTTTTTGCACATTCCAAATAAGTTTGTTTGCTACAATATTACATGGATTTTTTTGTGTGTTTTTGGTTTTGTTGTTTGGTTTTTTTATGGTTCTTATACCAGCCATTTTTGTTGGGGAAAACAGGGTGTTTCTTTGTATACATTTTACGAGCAAAGAGGAGACCTCACTGATGCTTTTAGCCAACCTACTAGGCAGCTGTTAGTGTACACAGAAATGTAAAATACAGCGATAAAAAATACAGTGGCTACAAAAAGGTCAGTGTAAAGTTTCCAGTGTCCAATAATCCCACACAGTATTTGAGACATAGTTAAGACTAAGGATGATACAACACTGATTGAGGAGAAAAGCAAAGGTAAAGCAGGACAGCGACTGCAGTAATGCATAAGTTCAGCCAAAGATGTCGATGCCGTCAGGACTGCTGCACGGATAGACATAAGGGAAAGGAGACGTGTATTGTGTGCATTTTCACAAGCTTGCATTCACAGTGAAGTATCTTAAAACATCCATTAGAAGCAAGTGTTAGAGAAAAGCACGTAAAAATTAAATAGTGCAAGCCCTGGTTTCTAAAATATACCTGAGGTGAATGGTAAGTAAGAGTCGGTCATGGCCTACCTGATGCTGATTCCTGCAACTTTTCTCTCTTCCTCTTCTTTTTCTTCCCCTGAAAAACAGGAAATTTTACCATACCATTACACGCACAGAACTTTTTTTGTCGCTTCCCCACCTCACAGCATAGAAACGAAAGCCATTTGGACAGTGAGAAAGGAAAAAAAACAATTGTTTTTGGGGTAGCTAAAACCTTTTCTAACCCACTTCGAACTGTTTCAATGGTAACAAGGTTTGCTCTCAGCATCTATGGAGAAATACACACATGAGCAATACACATTTTTATATCCACGTGGAATTACAATTTCTGGCAGTTTTTCAACTGACGCTGGCAGCCACAAGCATCTAAAAGACTTCTCACGCTTAATAATCTGATGACACATATGTTGATATCATAATTTACGGCTCTTACAAGAACTCTTCACACATTCAGATACTTACACTGTCATACATGGCAACAGCAGACAGGGTGTTGAAAGTACCTAGGACGACCATGACGAGAATCCCCAGGGTGCAAACCAGCCAACTAAAACTGTTCTGATAACGCTCATACCTTAACAAAAGCCAAGCCTCCTATGGCTATGCCCGGAGAACGCGCTGTGCAATAGGCAAATAGCAGACTGCTGTACAGCGGAGCACCCTTAATGTGACTGAGGTGCAGGACAGAAATGGACGTCTGGCAGCTGTCTGTCTTGGACACCACACTGGCACCAGCATGCCGGCGCAGGGTCATCGTGCCAACCCACACACTCAGCCTTCTCCCGCACCCCCATCTGCGGAAAAGGCCAGAGCTCCCGGATCACACAGTCTTTCAGGAAACAAAAGGTCAGTTTAGACCCACAATTTTAAACCTCAGTCATCTTGCATTGCCCTAATTACCACTTCGATATTCCTCCGTATGACTTCTCTTTATTGTCCTGTATTGTCAGTCAAAGCTTTTCTTTTTTGTTTAGAAAAAAAAAAAGTCATATCCATTTATATTTTAAAGAAGCCTTCAAGCTGCCAGGACAGGCTCTAACAGATGAGCTCTGGCAAACCTTGGTGCAGTTGCTGTAAGCGGGACTGCAGCCCACTGTCCATCCTTCTGCCCCCCAGCCAGAGGTTACCCCACTCAGCACGGCTGGCAGCCGCCAATGCATGTCCCGGCATAGACCGTGCCACGCACAGTGGCCACAAACTGGAAGGGCTGAGGTGGAGGGACACATCTTTCCATCAGCTAGCTCTGCAAGGCGACGGGATGGACCGCAGGTGATGTGAGAAACCACCTCAAACCACTGCAGTGCTCACTGATGGACAACAAGCAAGGGCTCCAAATACAGGCTACGGTGAAGCTATGGCAGGCGAATTTAAGTAGTCTCCAGTCTGCTCTGAAAGTCTGGGCCTGCCTGACTCAAACTCCTGTCCTTATTTATCCTGAGGCTGGCAACAAGGCTGGGCAATGCCTTCTGAGTGAGCTCCCAAAGATGAGGCTAAGACTAGAAGTTGGAAAGCAGATTTCAAGGGCTCTGGGAAACTCACAGCGATATGCTTTATCACTTAGGCACCAAGGCAATACTTCTTTACAGAGGAAAGTGCATTAGTGCAGATGTTAACATGGAAAAATCATGCGAGGAAAATTATGTTTTATTCTCTACAGCAGGCTGACTTCAAGTGCTGAAACATACTGAAAGCTGATCTGAGATCCGTCTATGAGATACAAGAAGTGGAGGAACAGAAGGAAAAGGTTGGGCTGAAAACTAGTTGTCAGCATTCCCAAATGAGGTAGTTTCTGACAACTCCAGCACACACAGACACCATCACATTATGAAAACACTGTGCTTCTCGTGACTATCACACAACTTTGCAGGACTACTTTGGATGTCAGTAGTAAAAACATAATAAAAAGCACACAGATATTGTCAACAATTGAATAGCAATTATTAACATTTTCTTGACATTTCTGAAATCCTGAATAACCAGGCAAACCAAAATACATGAATTAAAACCAAGTAGTACATATTTTTTAATTGTACTGTTGTGAAATTCAGCCACATGAAACAGAAGAGTCACCCCTAAGTCGCCTCCAACTCTCAAATACTGCAGTAATATCTGTGCTAAATGAATACAATTTCATTTTTTGACTGCTCAAGTTAAAAAAAAAAAAAGAGAAAAAAGATGACCTATACCTGAAAAGGTTTCAGTGATAAACTGTGATCTACTATGATCACCTTCTCACCACTGCTGCAACAAACGTGTGTATTCCTGGAGAGGCAGAGAGAAGGACTGCAAGAGGAAGCTAGCAGAGTTCTCCATTGTAACATATAGGACTGGAGTATGTCAGAGCTATACTTCCACACAGGATGTAGGTTGGAAGCACATCAAAGAGAGAATTCATATGTGCCACCTTACACACTCCGAATGTCTATCACGGCATTTAAGAAACCGCAGGTCCACTGCTTGTGCTGTATGGCAGTAGGCTGTGGCAAAACACATCAGGTTCTCAAAGTCAACATGACCAAGCATCACAGGACAATCTTGAAGGCTAACTTTCAGTAAATGTGAACTAACAAGGCTCCAAAGTGGTTTGATTTTCCAGCAAATAAGTTCAAGACAATTGAAATCCCCTTGTTTTCAGGGAGTATATCACTAAGGCCCTATTTGTTCCCAGGTATATTTCAAGACAGCTCTGTTGACATGGTCTTTTATTGGAAATAAACCCTACCTGCATAAGGTCATGACAGCTCATCTGCTAGGAAAGATGACTGTATAAAACAAGCAGAAACAAGCTGCTAGAGCTTACAGTAGTGTCTGTGCTTACAAAACTGGGCATGGATGTCAGCAAGACCAAGGCATTTGCTTTGGAGACGATCACGTAGTTTCTGTGTCAATGCCTTCCCTGCCAAAGATCTCCCTAAGAGACTCTAGCTTACAATGAAAATTTTGTTTAATCTGAACAGTAGCTGTGCTGGATTGGAAATGTTGGGTACTTCTACAGTTTCTGTTAACACTGTATTTAGGTGCCTCATACTCTTTAATGTCCACAAGACGTCACTGAGGTAAAGAAATACTACTGTCCACCTAATACAGATGGAAAACTGAGACAGATATAGCATGTACACTTCCTATCACAGTAAATAATGTCACAGCTGATGGGGGGATGGAAAGGAGCCCAGATCTCAGGCTAGGACCAGTCTCAGGATTGCAGCTTGCGAGTTTCATAACATAACATATGACTACACTGACAGCTCATTGTAAGCACAATAGTATAATTGTGCAGTGCAAGCTGTGCAACCTGCTATTAGCACTTGTTTGGTATTTAATTATAAAATAAAGAGTAATTGTAAGAAAACTTCTTAGCTTTACCAAACTGTATAAAAGCAGAATCTGTCATGAAGTTTACTTACAGAAATTTTGCAGGCTTTATTTCAGAGATGGATCATTCTGAATTACTTTCAACTAAAGTTCAGTTTGCATTAAGATCCCTGGGCTTTCGGTTCTCTTGAAAGAGGGACACCCCTTTTTTGCTCAGGTTTAGAGCAGACTTCTGGATAGCAAACGATCAAATAGAAAATTACAGAAAATTCACAGCTGTACAGTAGAACATAAGCTTTCAGACAGTACTGATGATTGCCTTAGAAAAAAAAACTTCCCATGCTAATTTTTTCCCCTCAAAAACTGTGACCTTCATAAGAAGCATCTCAACAACAACAACAAAATCTCAAGTTTTCTGGATGCTTGAAGTGCAAACAAATATAAGGCTTATGTTACATGTTTGTTCACCATGCCTCCATCCAGAATTTTCCACAAGTTAAAGAGAAAAGGAAGAAAGAAAAAAGAAAAGAGCCTTCAAGTAAGCGACTTACATAGTTGTCTCTTGCAGACCAGCCTGGATAAAGCTGCATGTGTAGCTGCCTTTCTTTACGAGCTAGTTCATAATATTTCGCTTGTTCTTCACGGGAGAGAGCATGCCACTGCAAACAAAATAAACATAGCATTAGACTAGGAACTAACGCATACCTAGGCAAAGGATGACATGAGCAAGTGTTTTTGTGACTTTGATTCAGTCCTTCCCCTTCATTCTGCAAAAATGAAATTCATTAGCAATTACAAGCACCCGTGTTTATTAACCAACTTTCAGACATTTGTCAGCTCTGCAACTGCCAAGTGCCTTGAGCAAGACCAAAAATCATTTATAGAAACAGGGCTCATGAAATAACCTGCTCACAGAACCATGCTCTCCCATCACTACTTAAAAAAAAAAACCAAAAAACCCCAAACAACCAAAAAGCACCCTTTAGCTCCCGACAAAACAGAAAGGTTTTGTGCTGCTTTTAAAGGGCAGTGAGCTCCCCACCACAGAAGGGTTTGCTGTCTTGTTTTTAAACAGCAGCTACACATGGGTTTTTCAATGCCAACACAGAGGGCTTTCTGGGCACCAGCAGGCTCCTGTTCCAAGATCTTCCTCTAAGTATTTAGCTTCAAACCTCTAAGTATTTAGCTTCAAGGTACCTGCTTTCTGATTTCTTCTTGTTGTAATAGAAAAAAAGAAAATGGCAACTGCAAAAAGTTTCTAAGATACAGAAACCACAGAACTGTAGTCTTCAAATTACATGAGTTGACCTCTGTAGCCAAATAGGGATAAACTTCCTGCTCTTATGTACTTTAAAAAAAACAAACAAAAAACCCCTCACAACCTGCACATTTGAAAACGCACCAGCTACATCAGTATCTAATCATTTTGTTCTTGTTGAAACACTTATCATAGACCTGAACAAAAAAAGAGTAGAGGCCTTTTATTTAGAATCAGGTTCCACTGCTGCAGCATTTAAAAAAAAAAAAAAAAGACAGACATGAAATCATTAAGACACTCACACAAGAATAATTTACAGAACTAGGATTTCAGATCAGATCACATCTGTATGATTTAATATGTCGTTTTGTTACACGTCAGAAGATTTGAACTAAAGCGCTTGTCTGTCTTGACTTGGCAAGTTCAATGTGTTACTGAGCGCACAGCAGTTCAGCCTATTTGCAACTCTCAAACTCCACACGTGCATTCCAAAACTGGAAGGTAGTGAACATTATGCCGTGGCATCAGAGAGCCCAGCAGCATGCAAAGCGGCAGCTCTTGAGAACAGAGGTGGTTCCTGTTCCGTAGTGGCACCGAGTATAGTAAACAGTGACCAGGATGACTGAACACAAAACATTTGATAATAATTAATCTCCAAGCAATTATATTGGATAACTCATGCGTTGTTTGTAGCACAGTAAAAGTGGAATTTGAGGTACTTTCACAGAGAACAGTAACTTGAAAGGAGGAGTCCAAGCTGTGGAAAAAGCAGGCAATGGAGCACTGAGGCTTGATTCAGTACCAAAATGGAGATAAATAAGCCACTGCTCTCATTCAGGCCAAGAAAACAAGGCTGACATACTAAGCAACTAAGATCAATTACTGAGGGAGTGAGAATGAAAACATGATCCTAGAGACTTGCATGAAAGAATGGAAAAGGCAAGCACTGAGATGGCCTTTAAGAGGAGGTAACAAGAACATCAGAGCGAAGGCAGAAAGCTGCAGGAACCGGGACAAGTACCAATAGATTTCTGCTCTGTTCTGGGGGGGGGGGGGGGG